TCTTCCTCTTCCTCTTCCTCTTCCTCTTCCTCTTCTTCTTCTTGTCACCATCCTTCTTTTCTTCCTCTTCTTCATCAGACCCAACATCTTCTATTTCAGGCTTGTCATCAGACTCCTTTTCTTCTTTTTCTTTGTCTTCCTCTTTGTTCTCCTTTTCTTTAGCCTCATCATCACTCACTTCTTTATCTTGTTCTTCTCCACAAAAAGAGTAATAGGATAACCAATGAACTGTGAATACTTCTTCAAAATCTCTTTTATTCTTCTTTCTTCCAAGTACTCAGTTTGGTCTTCTTTCAGATGCAAGATAACCTTTGTTCCTTGGCCCATAGGTTCACCCACGTCTGTCCTCACAGTGTAGGACCCTCCTGCTGAGGACTCCCAGGCGTACTGCTCATCATCGTTATGCTTGGTGATCACAGTCACTTTCTCAGCAACAAGGTAAGCAGAGTAGAAACCCACACCAAACTGGCCAGTCATGGAGATGTCAGCGCCTGCCTGCAAAGCCTCCATGAAGGCCTTGGTGCCCAACTTGGCTATGGTGCCGAGGTTATTGATCAGGTCGGCCTTGGTCATTCCAATCCCAGTATCCACGATGGTGAGGGTGCGATCTTGCTTGTTTGGAATGAGGTTGATGTGCAGCTCCTTGCCGGAGTCAGCTTACTGGGGTCTGTCAGGCTTTCATACCTGATTTTGTCCAGAGCATTGGACGAATTGGAAATCAACTCCCTCAGGAAAATTTCTTTGTTCGAGTAAAAGGTGTTAATGATCAGGGATATCAGCTGCGTGATCTCCGCCTGGAAGGCGAAGGTCTCCACCTCCTCCTCCTCCATGGGCTGGTCCTGGGTCTGGGTCTCCTCGGGCATCTTGGCAGAGCGCTGCAACGACACGCACAGTGGCCGCTCAGAGACACTGAAGCAACTCTAATTACTTTTTTTTTTGCTTTTTGCATCATTTCTCTATTTTTATTGAAATTTTATAAAATGTTTGTCTTATTAATGACTCTCAGAAGGAAGCCCTATATCAGGAATAATTTCTTAAACTACACACTTACCCATGGGTAGTTTCCCTTACTAAAGAAATTGGTAAATTTAGTCTCAAAGGTAGACTAAATAGCAGCTCTAGGTCCTCTCCTTTCTAATTTTTCTCTGACAGTGACATGGACAAAGACCTCAGTCCTCCCCACCACTTGGGTGTGCATTTGCCCCAGCTATGGTATGCAAAGTCCTCACTAGTATTTACCTAGGACAGAAGATATAAAAAATCTGAAATATCCAATATTAGTCAACGAAATTAAAAATGTAACTAACAGCTTACCAACAAAGAAAAGCCCAGGTCCTGATGTCCTGATGAATACACTGATGATTTCTACAAGAAATTTAGGGAAAACTCAATACTAATTCTCTTCAAACTCTTTAATGAAATTTAACGAGAATGAATACTTCTTAACTCATTCCTAGAGGCAAGTGTTGCCCTGATACTAAAACCAGAGTAAGACCCAACCAAAAAAGAGAACTACAGGCCAATCTCCCTGATGAACATAGATGCAAATATCCTCAATAAGATACTAGTAAACAGAGTGCAGTAAATCATGAAGATTATACATCGTATGGAATTCATCTTCAGAAATGCAGGGATGGTTCAAAATATGCAAATAAATACATACAATACACCATTATAACAGAGTCAAATTTAAGAAAAAAATCACATGATAATATGAGACAAAGGACTTCTATTTAGAACATATGAAAAATTGAAAAAAATCAATTGTTTCAAATTCAAAGACCCAATACAAAAATGGGCATCTGAGATGAATACACACTTCTAAGAGGAAGAAATATGAATGCAAAATAACTATATGAAAAAAATTCAACATCATTGGTCATTTGACAAATGCAAATTAAAACAACACTGAGATTCCATAAAAATTTCTATCATCAAGAAATCAACCAATAACAAATTCTGGAGAGACTGTGGAGGAAAAGGAACAATTCTCTACTGTTGGTGGGAGTGTAGACTGGTATAACTACTGTGGAAATCAGTGTGCAGATTCCTCCAAAAAACTAGAATCAGAAGTCCCATTTGATCCAGCTCTTCCCCTTTGGGTTTCTTCACAGAAGAATAAAAAACATGGCAGCATTTTTGGGGCTACTTTTTTTTAGTTCTTAGAAGAAATAAAACTTGAAAGGGTTAATATATATAGTGAAATGGGATGAATCTGAACTTAAGGATTAAACAACAAAGATGAGAGGAAGGAGAAAAGATAGAAAAAAAGGTAGGAAGAAAAGCATGCAAGTATATATACAGGATGGCTGAGATGATTGTACTAATAATTTCCATCAGTTTTTTAGAATAGCAGTTATTGTGTAGGATTTTAACCATGACTAACTCTATATGCTGATATCTGTGATCTAAGCAACTACATCAAGGATGGCAATGTGTAATACAAAACACATGCTTGAGTAAGTCTCATCTTGATCGTCTAAGTGTGTAACATTTCTGATATCTTATCAATTATTATTATACTCTCTTTAAAATAAATTTTTAGAAAAATAAAAAGAAGACAAGAAAAAATTAAGCTTTCTCGAAAGCAAGTGGTGATATTCAATTATTTGTCTAATCTTATATATCTGTTAATCTGAGCAACAGATTTAATGATAAAAATAGATAATATAACAACCATTATTAATTAACTATTGTTTTGAAAATCTGTAACCTATGTATTGTTGTATGTTACCCTGTTTCTGCTATTTGTTTTTGCTCTTCAAAATAAAATAAAATAACATTTAAAAACTAAAAACATCACAGCACAGCACTATATGTACCCCCATGTTTATAGCAACACAATTTGTAATAGCTAAATCTTGGAAACATCCCAAGTGCGCACCAGTGGAGGAATGGATATGAAAGCTGTGGTCTTTTTATATGATGCAGTACTACTCAGTCATAAATAAGGATAAACTGAAGACTTTAATAGGTAAATGGATGCAGATTGAGACCGTAGTCATAAATGAAACAAATCAGACTCACATGTAAACATCATATTCTCCCTCTCTCCTGTGAGAAACTGCAAGAGTGAATAAGGTCTAAAATGTACACTAGGGGGACAGGAAGACAGCTCAGTGGTCTAAGTGCCTGCCTGGTAAGCCTAAGGACCCAGGTTCGATTCCCAGTACCACATGCTGTACTGGCCCTGCCTGTGAAGGCCACCAAGACTGGGCATGGTGGCACATGCTTGTAATCCCAGTGCTGTGGTGCAAACAGGAGGGTCGTTAAGAGTCTAAGCTGAGTAGTGAGATCCTATACCAAATACATAAATTTAAAATAAATTTAAAAAATAAAATAAAAAAATAAAATGTATAATATATTGTAAAGTGGGAAACAATTATTCAAAGGAAAAAAGAATAAAAATAGGTGAAAAGGATAGTAGGGAAAAAGGAAAACAGTGAAAGTTATACTCTGTCTTTAGGTTCATTAAGAAGGAAGTTTTGTGTCAATATGAGTTAGAGAAATTTTTATGCTTGTATCTTGTGTGCTGAGCAACTACTTTAAAGATAGCAATGTGCCATGTATCAACTATTGCTATTCTCACATTATTTTGCTATGAAATTTTATTTTACCCTTTTTTTCATAAAAAAAACAAAATAATTTTCTCTAACCTCCTAGGTTTGGCATAGTTAGTACATTCCCTCAATGATATGAAATGCAAAATTATACAAAACTGTGCCCTTATTGTCTCTTTCTCTCTGCCTGCCTGCCTGCCTGCCTGCCTGCCTGTCTGTCTGTCTGTCTGTCTGTCTCACACACACACTCACACACAACTTTTATTCTTGTCCATTTTTCTATGCATCTGTATTATCTTCCTGACAAGAATGAGAGATCATTGTCAAGTATTCCATATTAACAGTGGATGTAGACAAGTTTTTCAGATGGATAAAATGTGTCTGGTACAGACGTGATGTTCTTTATGTGAAAAAGTCTGTCCATCTTTCTGTACAATACTGACTCTCACCTGGCATGTTCTATTCAGGTTCTAGCTCAATAAAGTTTTTGAATTATTTCATCAGTGCAAAAAAAAAAAAAAAGTGTAAGATCCTTCAGGGCTGAGACTGTTTCTTGTACTTCTTTTTCTCACATGGAAAGTGATTGATAGATATTGATGGCTAGAAATAGATAAATTTGTCTTTAGATTCATTAATGATTCTTTTTTTTTGTATTTAGGGCAGGGTCTATAGGGTCTACAGGACCTCACTGCATAGATCAGACTTGTAGTGATCCTGCTGTTTACAACCTCCCAAATGCTGGTATTACAGATGTGCGCCACTGTGGCCAGTCTCAATCGCCATTTCAGCGTGCCCTGGGGGCGGGGCCAGCAAGCAGATTAATAAATTTTTGGAACTGGAACTGAAAGAGAAATGGAGAGAGCATCTTGGTGCCAAGAACTGAAGGAGAGTAGGGATGTGACAAATAAATGTAATGATCGTTTCCTGGATCAAGAAGAAAAAGAGATGTAGTACAGCAATAATCCAAAAAGACTGAGTGCCTGTCTTTGGGCAGTAGACAGGTGATGCTAGCTGTGGTGAGTGCTGAAGTTGAGTGTGCTGGTGAACACTTGTAATTCCAGCCTTCTGGGACAAGAGGATTGTAAGATTGAGTCCAGCTTGAGAAATTCAGTGATTTAGGGAGACTTTGCCTCATAATTAGAAAAATAAATGAAGGCTGGAAAGCGAGAACTTGAGGATTGGACTATGAGGAAAGGGCAAGGAGAAAAGTTGGGAAACATGACAGGGGCAAAGCCATACATTTATGTTCACAAGATGGGTAAGGCAATGATCCCGAGAAACATCAACAGGTTTTCAAAACTAGCAGTTAAATGGTAGGATTCTCACCCTGACTAGCTATATATGCTGATACCTGTGAACTAAACAACTGCACTGAAGAAAGCAATATGTAACAGAAGGGTCACACTTGGAATGCCTGACATGCTGGTCTTCTAAATACGTGCTGCTTGTCATGACATACCACTTATTACCATATTATCTCTCAAATAAATGTTTGTTAAAGAAAAGGGTAATAAATGAAAAAAAGAGACAAGAAAAAATGTCACATCCTGACATTCTACAATGCTGTATATGGTTAGATTTCTAAATTTCTGTGTAAAAGTATATAATTGTTTATGCATATTTTAAAATAATCATATTTTTAAAATTTTTTCTCCATATTCTGTAGAGATTTAAAGTTTAACATGTCAATACTAGATGGAAAATACCTGTTCCATGTTATGCCTAAGATGTTTGATATTCAGACAGATAGTGAGGTTAAACCCAACTGCATATGTTTAGAGTAATAATAAACTTCCCTACTGGAGGGTTAACAACCTAAGTTTTCAAACCAAAAATTAAAGAAAAAGAAGGGCTGCAAGGACAGCTAACATTTTGGCCCTAGCCTTTCAAGGTCAGTGAAGACTCAGGAAATAGGAGAACTTATACTGTAATATTATGTAACTCAGTTATGTCACAAATTTTCTGATCAAGGAGATTATGGGGCCACAGAGCAATGTGATTGATGTTGTAGAGTGTGTCTAAGGAGAGTCACATGGAGAGAAAACTTTCTCTCAGTTTTTCACAGAGAACAAATTGGCCAGGCAATTGCCATGACTCATCCACATGGCTGACACTCACAAAGGATCTGCAAACTGCAGTACAGGGTAACAGGATAAATCCTGAGCGGACTTGACTGAACTTAACAGATACAAAAGTTACATTTCTTGTTATACAGATCTTGCTTTATCTTGGTCTTAACCATCCAGCAGAAAAGTATAAAAACGAGGTATAAAAAGTAAAGCCATATTAATATGCTGAGCTGTGAAAGGCTCAAGTCAACAACTTCTGACATTGCCAGTCTTATGGATAACACA